AATCAATGAGAGTTATTTCAAAACTTATATTTATGAGTTAAGTTTTAAGTTTTTTGTTATGTAATAAAAATTTGTAAACAAAATACCAATGTTATTTGCAAATACAATATTTTTACTTCAATATTTACTGTAAAATTCTAATTATTTCATCTTTAATATACTTGTAAGAAATAAACTGTTTACAATTTATGTGGTTACAATTATAAATTAATTAATTACAAAAGAACTCAAAGTTTACAGTCTTTAATAAACATTTCAACCATGCTCAATAACAAAAAAAATAATGGTAATATACATTTCTTCATGTACGCCACTGTGTATGTCTGATTTTACCGAAGCTATACACGCCACTGTCAGTGGGACCAATACCAAAACAAACACTCGAACGTTGGCTTCAATCTCGTATACGGCCGGAGATAGGCAATGCTGCTTCTAGTTATACAATTTCTTTGGTCTTAACCCTTTAAAGACCAAGGCCGTATATACCGGGTGATTTGGACCACCCGTACCAGGGATTTTTCTCAAAAATGCGATTACCTAAGAAGTTGCAATAAAAAATATGATAATAAAATCGTATATGAAGAATCCAATACACCAGTTTTTATCACGCTGGTAACACCGGAAGTTGGTGGTAATGACATCAACTTAAAAATTTTCCAAGTTGTCATATGAATTAAGTTTTATCGTAGAATAGACATTTTAAAAATAAAGAACTGTTGTTTAATTCCTCTTAGATTTAATGCAACGTTTAAATGCTTGCAGTAATGATAACTAAACATGTATTATAAAAAATGCTGAAGTAATTAATTAAATAATAATCTGAACAAACAATAACAATGATTTTTTAAACACCTGTTTAAAATTTTAAGAACAAAAACGAATGTAACGAAACTTTAACGTTCAAAAACGTTGCCATCAACAGCCCTTCTTGTTCACCTTCTTACAGCATTAACTGCAGAATTTCGTTAGCGCTAATGGACTGGTATGCTCGACGAACTCGGAGTTTCATATTCTCCCTTGTTGTAGGCGGTTTCATGTAGACTATTTCTTTAATTCTGCTTCACAGGAAAAAGTCCAGTGGAGTTAAATCTGGTAATCGAGGTGGCCATTCGACTGGACCCCCACGACCAATTCAACGCATGGGATAATGTTGGTGAACTACCCTACGTGCAACAACTGCAAAATGTGATGGACACCCATCGTGTTGATGCCACATTGTTCTAAGTTCTAAATCTAAGAAGAGTTAAAACAAAAGTTGTTTATTTTTAAAATATCTATTCTACGATAAAACTTAATTCATATGATAACTTGGAAAATTTTTAAGTTGATGTCATTACCACCAACATCCGGTGTTACCAGCGTGATAAAAACTGTTGCATTGGATTCTTCATATACGATTTTGTTATCATATTTTTTATTCAACTTCTTAGGTAATCGCGTTTTTGAGAAAAATCGCCGGTACGGGTGGTCTGAATCACCCGGTATAAGCAAAATATACAGGGTGCTGTAATAATAATAATAATAATAATAAATGACTTTATTTTTTTTTCACTAGTAATACAAAATAAAAACAATGCTTGTAAACTTAAAAAAGAAACAAAAATACAAAAGCGAGAAAGAAAAATAGGCGAAGTTCGGTCTTAAACCGTTTTTCAACTTAACCATGAGAGAAAAAAAAATTTATTATGGAAAACAAAAGTAAATCAAAACAAAAGCAAATTAATAAACGACTATACAAACTAGAATTAACTGAAGCGTGCANAATTCCCCACACGGCAAAATCCAAGGGAGTCAGGTCAGGAGATCTTGCAGGCCACTCTACTCGACCTCGTCTACCGATCCAATCCGGGAAATTTTGATTTAGGAATTCGCGAACAATGATAGCGTAATGGGGCGGCGCACCATCTTGTTGAAGAGTTAAAACACGACCAGAAAAATCCGGGTTATTATTCATTTCATCGCGCAGTTCCATCAACAAATCAAGGTATGCAATACCTGTTACTGTTGCGTCGAAAAAGTAGGGGCCGACAATGCCGAAGGAGCAAACACCAAGCCATACTGTTACACCAGGAACGTTTAATTCTTCTTGCACCGTGATATGCGGATTTTCTGTAGACCAGTACACGCAATTGTGTCTGTTGATTCGGCCATTTAATTTAAACTGTGCTTCATCTGACCACAAAATGGTTTTAAAGAACTCTTCGAACGCTTCACATCGAATTACGTACCACTCAGCGAACTGAAGTCTGCGGTCCGGATCGTCTTCTGTTAATGCTTGTAAAAGACGTGGTCTGTAAACATGCATACCTAATTCCTTCATTATTCGCTGCAAGCTGGAACGAGAAATTTCCAATTCATGGCAAGCCTTACGGACTGATCGCGCCGGTGTTTCAACGAAACTCTCAGCGACCATCTGTACGTTTTGTGCAGTTCGCACGCTGCGTGGCCGCCCCGAACGCTTCGTGTCATTAACAGTACCATTTTGTTCGAACCTTTTTATCAAGCGATACACAGTTTCACGCCTCGGAACTTGACTGTTAGGAAACTTTTCGGCAAAATCGGAGAAAATGTTTCGATAATCGGCATGATAACGGTAGTACGAGCTCACTAAAAACACGCGTTCCGCAATTGTGAACCGATAACGCGCTCCGGCTGCCATAGCTACACACGGACAACTGGTTGACACGGTTAACCTTGTACTAGTGGGGTGAAACCGGCGCATGCGTATTTTGTGTTAGCGTTGCGCGAATTTTGGGCCACTCTGTATATAATATGTATAAAACTATCCCTTCTTTCTTATGCTTCCCCTTCTATTTATTTTTCTTTTTCTATTTTTTTTTTTTCTTCTCTATTTCTTTTTCGGCTCCTTCCTTTATTCTTCTTTTACTTTTACTTCTGTCTTACCTTATTGTGTTACTGCATGATCGGATTCTGTTTATATATATTTTCTATATTGATCAAGGGACCGATGAAAAACAATAACACCTGAGTCCATCAGGTGCATTGACCCGGTTTCCTTTGGTAAACCGCTTATTATTTATGATTTAGTACTTCATTTTTTTTTATATAGTATAATTCATTTTTTTTTTACTTTTTTTTTACCTGATATTTTCTTTTGTAATTGTAAATTGTACTCTTTTTTTTTGGTTTCACCAATAAATATATATTATTATTATTAAGTTGTTTGTTTTTAAAATATCTATTCTACGATAAAACTTAATTCATATAACAACTTGGAAAATTCTTAAGTTGATGTCATTACCACCAACTTCCGGTGTTACCAGCGTGATAAAAACTGTTGCATTGGATTCTTCATATACGATTTTGTTATCATATTTTTTATTGCAACTTCTTAGGTAATCGCGTTTTTGAGAAAAATCGCCGGTACGGGTGGTCTGAATCACCCGGTATAAGCAAAATATACAGGGTGTTGTAATTGTCCGAAAACGGAGTCGACAATCAACAAAACAAAATGGCGTGACAAAGAGATGTTCATATTATTACAACACACAGTAACACTATGAAGAAATCAAAGTCTATCAGAAACACAGATGTGTTCAAACCTTTAGCCATGATAGACTATAATAACAATATGGGAGGTGTGGATAAAACAGATATGTTGTCAAGTTCTATGAAATCCATAAATAATCTGTTAAGTAGTACAAAGAAGTTTTTTTCCACATACTTGACTTAGCAATTGTCAATTCATATGCCTTACCCAAATGAAATGTACAAAACATGTCTATTTCCTAGATTTACAAAAAGAACTAGTCAAATTACTGATAAGCAAATATAAAGGTGATATTCCTAAATCTATGAAAAACTAAAGATGTGATGAATCGCACTCTCCTTTCAGGTTAATTGTCAGACACTTTCCATCCATGTACCACAAACTTGAAACAACAAATAAAACTGTAGTCAAAAGATGTGTCATTAGTTCAAAAAATAAAATACGTAAAAAAACCTCGTATGATTGTCAATAGTACAATTTCCGCTCTACGTAATAGATCTAGTATTAGTTCTAGTGCTAGTGTAAGTTCTAGTTTTAGTTCTTATTGCACTAAAACTAGAACTAACACTAGACCTAGAACTAGAAACATTCGAGTCTTAAGACGCACGGCTAAACCCGAAACTTTCTAGTTCTAGGTCTAGTGTTAGTTCTAGTGATAATGTTAAGTTAATTCTAGTTTTAGTTGTTATTTTGCGCCAAGTTGTTGTTTGGTTGGTTCTATTTGTAAATAATATCTATTTCGCTCCCTATTGAAAGCTTGTGTATATGTAGTAGCTAGCCTGTATATTTGCGGTTCGGTAAAAACGGCCAGGAAAAATCCGCGCATATCTGAGCTTATGATACAAATGGATTAAATAAAAAAACATAACAGGGAATTATTTTATTTTTAAATTTAATTAATTCACAAATAAAAACCTATGTGAAGCTCGTGTTGATATTGATTCATGTATATTCAATGGATTTCACGTATTCAAAATAAAACGCTTTGTATGTAAATCCGAGTTTGAGAAACTTTTATTGGCGATATTGGCTACAATATTACCCGCTTTCATCTCTTTTCCCTATTTACCCTTTAAATTGTCCCGGAACGAGCAGATTAAAACTTTTTAATCATTTCATCTTCTCAGAAATTGTATATCCCGTTCAACTTGTATAATTAAATACTTCGATTGATGAGCTTTCCAAGATTTAATAAGTATTTCAGGATAAACTTTACTTAAATCTTTTAATTTACATAGGTAAGCTTTTTAATTACTACTTAAATCTCTTTACCCGTTTACTATTTAGAATTATCACACAAACCACATTGTGGACAATTAGTTTAACTAGTTTTGACCAATATTGCTCCGATTAAAACACGTTTAAATAGAGTTTACACTGGAATCGGTTAAATTTGAGGTTTGTACTTGCGGTTTAACCGCAATCCCAACTGCTTTGAAACGACTTGACGATAACATTTAGTTTAGTAAAGTTTCAATAAAAAATTCAATAAAACTAAAAGATCATTTTTTTAATTAGTTTTTCTTTATATTTAAACAAAAAATCGATTAATATAAAAAACTGACTGGGTTGAGTTAATGGTAGCTTCCTAATCCACTTCCGGATGAAGAGAATCCGTGATCATCTCCTCCAATGGACAATCCTCCTCCGTGTTCAAGTCCGGCGGCTTGAGCTTTTTCGGCGGCTTGGGCAGCATTGGACTGAGCAATTTGAGCGGCAGATTCAGCTTGTTGAGCAGCAGCTTGGGTGGCGTGAAGATCACCTTGAGCAGCTTGGAGTTGTTGTCCCAAAGAAGATAACCTTTGTTTGGCGTGTCCTACCATGGCTTCTTGGGATCCTAATTCAGCGTGAGCAGCTTCGGCGGCTTGTTGGGCATGGGCTGCTGTTCCTTGAACGGCATTAGCAGCGGAGTTGATTGCGTTTGCTGCTTGTTGGGCTTGGTTGGCGGCAGCTTGAGCGGCAGAAGCGGCACGTTGAGCTTGTTCTAATTGGTGGAGTTCGGCTTCGAGTTGTTGGTGAGCTTCGGCGACATCTTGTTGGAGTTTTTGGACTAGGATATGTTTGCCGATGAGAGCTGCTTGCGCTGTAGCTGCGGCCTAAAAATTAATAAAAGAATATTTAGCTTATATTAATGAGTTAAGGTTGATTTAATTAAGTTACCCCAGCTGCTGCTTGGGCTAAGGTACTTTTCGCTGCGAAAGCTGCTTGTCTTCCAGCGGCATGTTGGTTGGCAACAGCGCTGTTAGCTTGTTCCGCAGATCCTTGGGCGATGGTCTTCAATCCACTTCCAGCGCTGAATCCTTTTCCTCCTCCATATCCACCTCCATGACCACCATCGTCGGAAATTGAGATTGATTCAAAGTGACCTCCGGCTGATACCTCATTATCTTCGGCTCGCCGCTTAGTATTAGCGCAAGATACGGCTACAACTAATAATAAAATAAAAATTAATCTTTAACAATTTAACCAAACTTATTAATAAACTTACAGGCGCAAGCTAAGATGATTAAGAATTTAGCCATGATGTTCACTGAAAATTAAAATTTAATTGTTAAATAATAATTTTTATTTGTATTTTTTTTACCAATGGTTTAGGAAGCTTTACTGAATGATGGTAGATCGTTGACTGATCTCGATGCCGCATCACCGTCTTTTTATACCCGTTTATTAGAAAACTAATTAGTGCAGAGTGCGGATCGCGCATGTCTGCGTTCGCCAAGTCATCGAATAATGGAACGGTGGTGTGCACCTAACCGTGTACTCTGTAATCGGATAGTGCAATTTATGAGAGCAATATTAATAAGTGTACCACGGCGCCTAGGGTACTGCAGTTAAAATCGAAAATACACACTTTTATTACGCCCTATTAATAAAATAATCCATACGCAATCAGGATCCAGACCGTTGAAATATATCGAGCTTTTCTTATAGAAAATATTTATACATTATGGCAATTTTCCTTTGTAATGAAAAGAATAATCTTTCTAATAGTAAAAAAAAGTTTAGAAGTTATAATTTTTTTAATTTAAACAAAATGTGAATTATCAATGATAACAATTTTTCTTCATTCCAACTAAATCTTTCTAGAAAATTCATTTCTAGATATATTATTATGATATTTTCAAGATATGTACATAGTTACGTATTTTTTATGGTGAAATCTGGTTTTGAAAATCTCTGTTACATTCCGTATCAACATCGTCATAACGGTAAAGACAAGATTCAAACAACTTTACACAATGCTAGAACTTCTCATAATCATCGATTACGTACGTACGTTTTTCAGAGTCACGTACCGAAAGAAGACCATGTCTGGTTTCAAGTGAGTATGTAGCTACTATTTCACATCCATTTAACGAATCTCAAAGTTTTAACGAACGCTGAATGTGAGGGAGGATAATATAATGGAAATAGAATGTAATAATCTTCATCGCCGGCGATGGAACAGGAGACATATAGAATATATTCTAGAAACATAACCGATAATAATCAACACCGGCGACGTTTCCACGTTTCGTCACAAAAAATATGTGAGATGAGATCTGGGTCTAATCCAGTATATTGGAGATTATCTACATTATAGAAAAATAAGCTAGTACACTAAATTGAATGATGACATCTGATATCGCGATAACATTGAACGTTAACTTTATATTGAGCTGAACGACCAAACTAAAATTATGGCTATTGATTATAGCTATTTTTAGCATATTCTTTCATACTGAAAGGATACAATAAACTAGCCTTATATTAATTGTTGAAGAACTGCAATTACGGATCCACGCAAGATATGCTCGAAAAGTAATAATCACAAGTGATTGTATTAGTGGATATCGGCCACGAGGGTTGTAGGTTACGGAAATACTAATGATAAGCATGTCTCCAACTGTATATCCAGGTCTTATTATCATCTGAGGATGTTGTTTCCTCATCGACACTACCTTGGTATTCATCTGAAAAAGGTGTTGTGCGAAGCCTCTGTGTTGGCTCAATTCACTTATTGTGCTGAGGTCTACCATCCGTGCATTGACGTTAGCGATGTAACACGTATTCAACGAGTGCAAAATTCGTGTCTTCGGTATATATATGGATGTAGAAAATATAACAGAATATCTTATAAACTGAAGGATGCGGGATGGCTAAATATGTATCATCGTAGGAAAGTGCAGTGTTTGTGCCTATACCATAAAATTATAAACTGCAAGGAACCACAGTATCTCTACCAACTGATAACTTTCCGAAATGATGTCCACCGAATAAATACGCGATTTCGCGGAAGACTGTCGCCACCCTTCTATCGTTTGTCTTTGTTTCAGAGATCATACATATTTCAAATAACTTCGAAATATAATGAGGTGGA